GTCTTTGACAGACACCTTTTTTACATTTTGTTATCTCCCTCCTTCTCGGAAGGGGGCCGGACATCCTGGAAATTCACCCATTATCTAAGAAGCCCCTATTGTCTGGAGAGTTCTTAATCATTAGCTGGAACAATGTCCCTCGAGCCCCACACTACATTTGAATACCTCTTCTGCCCAAACCTCCCAGCCCTGCTCTGGTCCGGGCCCTTCTCCTTCCCTGTTCTGATGACTTTTGGGGAAAGGATGGAGGCCACTGAGTGTGCGCCCACCCAGGAGCAGAAGGGATTGGGGTTCCAGGAGGCCCTGCTGCCCTGCTTGAGGTCCCTCCCTCTGTGAGGCTCACAGCACTGGCCTGACTTGCAGAGGGCGAGGGGCCTGTTTAGCGCCACTGTTTTTGTAAGCTAATGAAGGCAGAGTGGGAGCCACGGGCAATGATGCTGGGATATTAACTCTGACAGGAAGCTTGATCATAATTATCTTAACGAGGATAGGGTTAATTACAGTGGAAACTTAAAAGTTCTCTCTGTTTGAATCTGCTGGAGTTGAATGCATTGTGATGTTTTGTCATTTGATGTGCCTTTGGAAAAGGCACTAGGACTCTCCCAGCAGCTGCAGCGGCTCCTAGGGGAGCCCAGCCGGAGCCCTGCGAACAAGGTAACCAAGATGGTACCTGTGGGTGACATAATGGGCAGCTTTCCCGCTGGTGGAGCGGAGGCCGGCAGCCTGCAGTGCACTTTGGAGATGCTGATTAGGTTTCCAGAGCAAACCACCTGGCACAGATCGGACCGCACACCGGGTCTCCCTGCCTGCCCTTGACATCTCCTTGCTGGGCCGGGAAGACCTCTCTCCAGCTGGCTGTGCCTTGCCCTCCCTGTCCAGACCCTGTCCGTGGCACTCAGGCCTGCCTGGCCTTCCCAGCCCACCCCTCAGGCGTTTGTAGCCACAGCCAGCCAAGCTGGTGGGTGACCATGGAATGACACTCACCTCCTCCACCAGGGCTCTTGGGTCTGGGATGCATTTTGCTGTCCACACACAAGGTTATAGGGGAGAAATTCCAGTCCTGCCATCTTTTTCTTGTAGCTACCATAGCTGTCCCTTGAACAGCATAGATCTTTGTGGACCCTTACAGCCTTTTTTGCCTTGTCATTTAATAGCACACATCTCTTTGCAGGCATCTTGTATATAGGGGTATGAGCTCAAAGATTGACCCACATAATTTCTTTCCCCATCTCCTTCCAGGAAAGCAGCAACAACAACAATAGCAATAACACAAAAATAAACTTATTTTAAAAGTAAAAACGAAAAGCACGTTCCAAGCATCTGTTTATTGCCTTCCACATGCCAGCCAAGCTCCAGAAATCCTGTCCCCTCCAGTTTTATCCTTCATTACGCTCTCTGCCTCCTGTCCCTCCAATCCCTCAGCTCTGAATTTAGCTGATTAAATCACCAAGTGCACACCCCAGTGATGACATGAAGACAGGGATTTATTAATTAGCAACCCCCCACCCCCCGTAACCTGCCTTTTAACTGAGCAGCTAACAATATGACATGGCAAAAAGGATCTCGAACCAGACAGGTGACAGGGGGTTTGAGCCTGAGCTTCCCAAGTGCTCTCTGAAGTCTCCCTCCTGTTTTGAGCTCTGCCCCAGAGCCCACCCTGGAGGGAAAGGCATCTCTGGGGGCACTCCTTCTAGCCTTCCCGGCTTTGTCCTCACCATGTGGTGTCATTTTGTCTTATGCCTCCCCTGAAGCACTCTTGGAAGGAAGCGTTCTTCTGCTTGCCAGTTGCCAACCCTTTGCTGACTCTCATGATAAAAGTATTACATTTGGATAACATAACTCCGGGACAACGTGTATTTGGATGCCACCTTTGACCAGAGCCCAGCTGATGTTCGTGCACAAAGGACTGATTAGCCATGCGTTAGGTGCCCTGATGGGGAGGTGGCCACGACTCCCCTTGAGGTAAACGGGGGCTATAGTCCTGACACTTTGGGATCAGCACTCAGTAACCCCCAAGGAGGAAGGGGCTTCAAGAAAGCTTGACATTTCCGTGCAGAAGCCACACTTACTACACACCTTTGCACGTCTCCTCCTCTGCCCACCCCCTGCATCCTGAACCACCCCCCACACCCCTGACCAAAGGTCAGGGCTTCCAGAAAAATCAATGAGGAAGGAGAAGAAAGAAACCAGTATTTGCTAATAGGTTGTTAGTCCTCTCCCACGTATTCCCTGTAAGATCCTGTGAGCTGGGTCAGCACAGAAGAAGGGAACTCAAGGGGGTTGTTGAGATGCCCCAATTCAGGCTGCAAGTAAATGATGGCACAGAAGTAAAACCCCAGGCCTTCCTGACTGTACGTGTATAAATTTTGTTTTGCCTTCCTGAAACCTGAGGAAGGAGAGAGAGGAGGAGGAGGAAATGGAACTTGGTGACCCTGTTGACCCTTGACCCCAAGTGTATGCGGTATTGCCCCCCTGCTACGGTGCAAGTAGTGTCAGTTACGGGATTAGACGTGGTCTGGGTGCTGGGCCGTGGCTGGGACCACCTGGAGGTTTGGGGCAGGAGTGGGGCTGCTGGTGGAGCTCTGGGCCCAGTGGAGTCTGGGGGTTGAATTGCTTCTTCACCAGGCATCTTTCACCTCCTCTTGATTTTGGAGTCCTATTGACACAGGTCCCACAAGGGAGAGATGGATGTATTCAGAAAGGTCTGGTGCTCAAGTTCACACTCACACCACACATACAGGCACTGAACAGTCACATCACATGTACCGGCATTGCACACGCAAGCAGGAGCATCTGTGATGGAAGGGCCATCAGTAAATGCATAAATAGCTTAGACAACATCTCCCCGATTCGTTGCATTTTATAGAACAGCCAGGCAACCCTGTGTGAGTCCACCCTCTGGTCAACGTCGTAGCTCAGCTGTCAGCCTGTGCAAGCTCAGCACAGCTCTTGGGTCTGGCAGGTGAACGAGCTGGGAGCATGTGGCCGTGTGAGTCCCTCCACCGGGCAGCTTTCTGTAATTACCATCTGCGTGCACCGGGCAGGCACATGCGCACAGCTGCCCCTCGCTGCCTGCACCCCCAGCAGCCCTGTGCCCCTAACCTTAAGAGTTAACTTTCAGCTACGTCTATTAACAGGGCTGTTTTCCCCGGATACTTTTTTTTCTCTCTGAGCCGGGTACTTAATTCTTTCCGATGCCTGTTTCTTTACTGCCCCGACATCTCCATTTGCTGCATTCGGCACTTTTTTCAAAGAAATGAAGTGAGAAATCCACTTTCCATAAATTAAAACAGTAAACGTCAAGTCAGGAGCCTTGAGGCAGAAATTCCCGCAACCCCTTCCTTACCTCACCTCCCCCCCCCCAAACAAAAACAAAAACAAAAACAAATCATGAAAGAGAAAGAAACAGCCATTCAGACTGGAGTGATTCCGTGCTTCCGAAGATATCTTGCCTTTTGAGGCGGCCACAGGGACACTGGGCAGAAGCAAATTAAGTGATTAGTAAGGAAAAAAAGCAGAGGGGAGAAAAAGTCAAAGGCGGTGAACGCAGAGAAAGGAAACCTTCCTTGCTTTTTCCTAGGACTGTGTAGAGGAGAACCGCTAAGAAATGATACTTGAAGTTATATTTATTATTGTAAGAGGGGTATGATATTTCTGGGCAGGAATGATGGATGACAACTTAAATTTGTGTCCAGGGAATGAAGGTGAACTGTGACAGAGTTATTTATCTTGGGAATGGAGGTTAGGGTCAGCTGAGGCTGGGTGCCTGAAGGCACAAGACATTGACAAATTTATCCTGCAGGCCGTATCTGAAGCCCTTTGTTTTGGATCCTGGCTACTCACTAAGTGACCCTCATCCTTCATGTTGGCAATGCGTGAAGGATGCGGTGAGTGCCAGCGGCCCCTTCTCCCCCGCCGCCCCCGCCCCGGCTCCCGCTACTAATTCTTGTCATTCACTTTGCTGACAGGCACCAAGCCCAAACTATTCCCAATCCTGAAAGGGAAGGTTAAAATATTTATTTCGGCTCATAATGGCCTCCCTGATTTAGTGCAGGATCATTTTTCCTGTTGCCTTTGTCATTGCAGGTCACTGGAAGGACTGAGCGAGTTCGGGAGCCTGGAGGAACTCATCTTGGACAACAATCTGCTCGGGGATGACCTCGTGTTGCCAGGGTTACCCAGGCTCCACACCTTAACCCTCAACAAGAACCAAATATCCTTGGCTCTGCCGCCACCCACACTCTCCTCCCGGCCTCGCAGTGGTCCCCTCCCGCAGGCCATCCCCCCCCCCCGCCCCCAACAAATACCTGCGAAATGTCAAATGAGTTTTATGTGTCAGCTAAATTAAAGCAGGTGAAATACAGTCCGTGGGCAGACAAAGCGTTGTGTCTCCTGGCACTCGGGACACTTCGGAGTAATTTATTACAGGTCATTCATAAATGAAATGCACCATTATATCTTCCTGTTGCTCCATTTTAGTGTAGAGATCTAAGTTATGGCTGTAAAGAAATCTTTTTAATAGATAAAAATAGAGAAAGAAAATAATGTTACTGCTGCCGAGAAGGCAAAGCCGGGTTCTGTTTGCTTAGGCTTGTGTGGGAGGGCGACCTCTGGTGGGAAGCAGGGGGTAGTACCTCCAAGCAACCTTGGCCTTCAGGGAGGTTCCTGGAAGGCTTTGGCTCAGGCTTGGGGAATGCTTTTGGCCAAAGAGAAGGGGGAAGGGGCTCAGGTGGAGGATAAGTGGGAAGCCCTGGCCCAGCTCTGCCCTCTGGGGTGTTTATGGTACTAGGATGATGAGAAGGGCAGAGGAGAGCCATTCTATTGTGTGGTTTCTCCTTAGGGGGAGGATCTAGCACCCTGGGATGAGACTCAAAGGGACTAGTTGCTCTGGATTCTGTAGTGAGGCTAAGAAAGGAATCAGAACCTTTATTCAGTGTAAGCCACACAGCTCCTCCAGGTTAGAGTTGTGGACCTCCATGCCTGCACAGTGCCAGCTCGCTTAGGCGGGGAATTTTTTTGCGGTACGCGGGCCTCTCACTGTTGTGGCCTCTCCCGTTGCGGAGCACAGGCTCCGGACGCGCAGGCTCAGAGGCCATGGCTCACGGACCCAGCCGCTCCGTGGCATGTGGGATCTTCCCAGACCGGGGCACGAACCCGTGTCCCCTGCATCGGCAGGCGGACTCTCAACCACTGCGCCACCAGGGAAGCCCATCATCAGCTGTTCTTTGTTGAGCACTCCTGTGGATCAGACACTATGCTAGGTAACTTTAAGTGTATTATTTTTCATTCTTTCCAAACTCTTTGAGAAGGGTGTGGTTTGTCCATTTACCTAGATGAGGAAAGAGGTGAAATATAGGCCCACAGCCAGACATTTAACAAGATGCTAGGCCCCGGATTCAGTCTCAACTGTGGCCAGATCTAGAGTTCGTTCCATTTTACTGTGTTACTTCAGACTTGAAGTCCAGTCACCTTGTTTTATTGATGGAGTGTTTCAGACCTGGTGTGGTTTAATCACTTGTTCACATGGTAAGTTAGAAATAGAAATGGGATGGGGGCATTTTCCCATAGAGTATGAAATAAAGCCAAATAAATATGTTAAGATTAACATACATGTTTATGTCAGCTTTAAGACTGATTTGCACAATTATTTTTAGCCACTGTTTATATGGTAAGTCATAAGTTAATATTTTCCTTATTCAGTAAAATATGCTATTTGTGTCCATTAATAATAGGTACTTTCTTAGAAGAAGGAGAAGGCCTACAAGTAAATATCAGTCTTTATCATAATGAAATGTTGATGGATTTTTTTTTTTTCTTGTCCTATTCTTTGGTCAACCAAGTTTCCTAGTTGTTGTTTGAAAAATTATTACAGTCAGTGTGTCTTATGGGTTCCTTAGCTGTCTGGGATGATCAGCTGGATGATATTCTCAAATCAGTTAAGAATAAAAGGATAATTAGACTAGAGTTTGGATGATACGGTTCCTCCTATGGACCCCAATGCTCATATCCTGTGTCCCACGTCACTGTAGAGTATTGGAGTTGTTGGACTTGGGTTCATGAGTCAGCTTAATCATGTTTAACTGTGTGGCCATGGTCAAGTAATGTTCTCAGAGCCTGTTTCACATTGTTGTGTGTGTGTGATGTTACAGCTTTCACCTGCCTATCAGAATAACTCATAAAAAGGAATATGTGAAAAACTATTTTGCATGTTGGAATCAAAGTACAGTGATGACATAAGCAAAGCAGGTTTCTGCATAGTTATAAAACCAGCTGCCTCTGCCCTGGGATATTGTCAAGAAGGCAATATAAAAAATGGTACAGTGAGAAGGGCTTCCCTAACAGCCCACAGATGAAGTCACAAGGACTGTACAGCAAATGCTGTACAAATGCTAATCCCAAACTCAATTCCTCTTCTCACTCAGCACACTTCCTGGTCGCTTCTCTGTAGTATTAATTGGTACATACTGAGAAATGCAAGCTCCTTTTAGCACCAGCCTGAGCAAAACAATTAAAAGAAGGGCATACCAGCCGTGAGAGAATGTCATTTCATGCAATCCCAGTCTGCAGATGAATCAGTGGGTGATTTTCCATTTTTTTGATCAACCACTGATTTATGTAATAACCAATTATTGGAAAGTATTTGTTGGATACCGGTGTATCTGAAATACGTAGGTTATAGTATTGCTTTCTTCTATTACCACTGACAATTGAAGAGATACTAAGTATTGATGCCTGGCAGATTACCTGGTTAGTCTAATTAGGTTAGATTCTACTAATATTCATGCTTCATGTGAACTTACTAAGCATTACTGTCTCCCACTTTAGAGGATTCATTTTCATAACCTGGCATAGAATATACTGAAAATGCACAGGGATCCACTTTAGGATTAATTAGTTAACTTTTTCAGTTTATTTAAACTAAAAACAATAGCAACAAAAAAGCGGTTAACCATTTCTCCTACTCCCATCACCCCCTCCCTCTTCTGGCAACCACCAGTCTTTTCTCTCTATCTATGAGCTTGGTCTTGATGTCGTTATTGTTGTTTTAGATTCCACATATAAGGGAGATCATACAGTGTTTGTCTTTCTCTGTCTGACTTATTTCACTTAGCATCATGCTCTTGAGGTCTATCCATGTTGTCACAAATGGCAAGATTTCATTGTTTTTTATGGCTGAATGGTATTTCATTGAGTGTGTGTGTATCACAGTTTCTTTATCCATTCATAGTCGATAGACACTTCAGTTGTTTCCATATCTTGGCTATTGTAAATAATGCTGCAGTGAGCAAGGGGGAAATCCATCTTTTCGAGTTAGTGTTTTTGTTTTCTTTGGATAAATACCAAGGAGTGGAATCCTGGATCATATGGTAGTCTTAATTTTTTGAGGAACTGTCATACTGTTTTCTGTAGTGGCTGCACTAATTTACATTCCCACCAACTGTGCACAAGGGTTCCCTTTTCTTCACATCCTCACCAACACTCATTATTTCTTGTCTTTTTGATAGTAGCCATTCTAACAGGTGTGAGGCGAAATCTCATGGTGGTTCTGATGATTAACGATGTTGAGCATCTTTTCATGTACCTGTTGGCCATCTGTATGTCTTCTTTGGAAAAATGTCTATTCAGATCTTCCGTCCATTTTATAATTGGATTGGTTTTCTTTCTGCTTTTGCTACTGAGTTGTGTGGGTTCTTTGTATATTTTAGATATTAGCCCCTTATGAAATATTATTTACAATTATTTTCTCCCATTCAGTGGGTTACCTTTTTGTTTTGTTGGTGGATTCCTTTGCTGTGCAGAATGTTTCTCATTTTTAAAGGAATAAGGTGGACTGAATAACAGTTTTGTTTTCAGTGTTGCTATCATCAGATATTAACAGGCTTCTTGTTTTTCCTTGGTTCAGTCCTTTTTTCCAGTCTGGAGCAGTAATGCTCAGGGAGCAATGATGGTGATGTGAAAGGGACTGCAGCAGAAGGCAATGTGTAGCTGTAGATCTGGCCAGTTATATCGCTACACTGTTGTAAGTACTTTATTGCCAGTAGATACAAAAGATAACTAGTTAGCTTTTTCATGATGCAGCATGATGTCTTTCTCCCCTGATCTACCAGTGTGATCATGAAGATTGGTTTACTTTCCCCATGCACTTGACCAAGAAGTTGTAGGATGAAAGGCAGGTAAAAGCAGCAGTAACACTACATGCCATTCTCTTATCCTATACTCCTGACTTGACCTTTTTAGCCAACTGACTCTCCTCCCTACTTATGGAAATACTCCAGGCTCTACAACAGTCATGAGGTTCCATATTGCTATTGTTACTCCATGAAATGCCTTAGACTAGGGCTTTGTCAGTTAGCTTTGCTGTATAATAATCCAGCCCAAAAATTAGTGGCTTAAAATAACAAATATTTTTGGTTTACAATTCTGTGCATCAGCTACTTGGGCAGGGCTCAGCTGGATGGTTCTTCTGCTAGTCTTGCTTGGGTCACTCATGCAATCACAGTTATTTGGAGGCTTGGCTGGATGATCTGAGATGGCCTTGCTTATATATCTGGAGGTTGGTACTGGTTGTTGGCTGGACTACATGTCTCCAACAGGCTAGCACAGGCCTTTCCATGTGGGAGGGATGCTCCAAGAGCAAAGCTTGATGTACAAGTACTTTTAAAGCCCTATTTGCATCATGGATGTTGCTGTCCCATGGCCAAAGCAAGTCACGTGCCAAATGTAGAACAAATATGAGAGGGATTCCAGAACCCAAACCAAGCATCTGGCACATTTCTTCTCAATTCACCTTCCCAGCTGCACACTTCCTCCTTGATCTCCCAGCCCTTTGTTCCACTTCTGTTCAGCCCTCAGCTTTGGGGTCCTGTTCTGGTAGACCTAAGAGCTTGGTTGTCCCAGTCTACCTCTTCATCTCATATTTATAGGTTATCTCTCTCTCCTTCCTTTGGCTTCTTTGGACTAGTCCCGTGGTCACTGGCCATGGAGTGGACTTCCTCTCCTCAACACTCATATTCTCACACTCTCTCCTTCTTGCTCACCCATGAGTATGGACAGTCTCAGCCATATCATGTCTGAATACTCAACCCTAAATAAGGGAACAACAGAAATGTCAGGAAAATATAGATAGTTAACCTTTGCACAATCAAATTATTCTCTCCCACTTGCCTTTTGGGGGTGGGTAGGGGAAAGGTGATAAGCTGACTTCATTTTAAA